TGATAGCTCACGAATGATGGTGTCAGAATGCAAAGCCATATGAGTCTGTTTCTAGAATACACATCGCTTAGGAAACATGGTAGTTTGACACCACCAAGGGGAGCGAGCAGATTGAAAACCAGAGAATGAAATCCTCTAAAAGACACTGCTGATGCCTAATACGTTAAGATGCTCTGTGACACACTTCCATTCCAGTTTCCTGGCAGAGAACAAGTGTCAGTCTCCCTTAGGGTTTTAAGTGACAGTGTGTGTGTATGTGTGTGCACATGTGTGTGTGTGTGCGCGCAGTGTGTGTGTGAGAGAACAGAGAAAGTGCATGTGTGTGAGTGTGTAAGTGTGTGTGTCACTTTCAGTACTTGTGTAAATATGCTTCATTCTCTCTTCCTTCATGATGTAATGAATGGGGGCCTTGTAGTCAGGGCATAGACAGGAGCAGGCAGTCAGGGAAGAGGTCAGAGGGAAGAGAGAAGATAACTCTCTCACTTAATGAGTCGATGAAGGTTTCTATGGTTACAAATCACAGAAACTATCTCCAACTACCTTATACAAATAATTATTTATTAAAGGATATGAGTTCATACACAAAATCTCCTGGAAGGTCAGAGAAACAATAAAATGCAGTCACGAATAATGGCAAAGTCATGCCACCACGCTGTTTCACCGGGAGCATCATCTAACGCCACTCTGGGCCTGAGGATTGAGTCGTAGCTTCAACTCAGTAACTAATGCTCAGTATGGCATGGAAGCTTGGAACCTCTGACTTCAGGAGCCTGATGTAACACCACCACCCTTGCCATGGTGGTTTTCCCACATTTTTATTTTATAGAACTGGCTTCCGGTTGAGTTTGGCCCAAGTATCCTCCTTGCAAACACTAAACCCACATGCAGAAACACGAGTCACAGGGGAGACTGGGGAGACAGATATATTTGTCTTCCACAGTGGAAGTCTGACTTTAAGGCCACAAGTCAACCTCACATAGGAATATGAAAAGATGCTGACTGACAAAAGCGTAGCCATAAGATAACCATTCATCTGGTCACCTTCCAGAGAGAATGAGGACATATTGATTTGTCTGCATGAAAGTATTGACAGGGACAGAAACCCAGAATGGCCCACAGTGGAATTAATTACTTTCAAAATAATCAAGGAAGAAGAAGTAACCAGTACCAAACTACTAATTCCCTCTCTTCAAAACACATGGCCTACCTCTATTTTTAAAACACACTCAAGTCGTTTTAAATAAAATAACATGAGCTGACTGTCAAAAGCATTCTCGATGGAGACCTTTTGCGAAGTGAATAACTGCCTCACAGTGTGTTTATAAGCCCTGGTTGGTTTACTCTAAGTGGGACACAGGCATTCAATTAATGAACTAGAAAGAAAAGGATAGTGGTTATTAAAGATGCAAAGAGTATCTGGTGAAGGATAAAGTGTCTTTGGCTGAAACTTATGACCTGGTTATTTAAGAAGACTTCCTATGGGGGGCCCTCTGGCAAAATACCAAGGTTCACAGAGACCCTGGGAGACTCAATGGTGGAAGAGGGAACCGTCTTATCATACCAGAAGACCCTTGAATTAAATCCCTTTCAATAAATGATTCAACACCTACGCCCTATCAACATTTCTGTGTCCCTTTGACATACAAAACACTGGCCCGGACTCACCACTGCAAAGACAAGCAATCGGCCCAGTTCCTGCCCATAAGGGCATCTGAGCTCAGTTTGAAAGATGAGAAAGTAGAACAGGGAAGACAAAGGAAAAAGTTACTACAGTGCAAAGGGACAAAAGTGTATTGTGTACCAAGGCAGTGAGAGTAAAGTGCAGTGTAGGTCTAGACAGCTGAACAGGAACAGACTAGGGACCTACAGGCAGTGACATACAAACCACAGGACACACACGAGAGTGGGGGAGGGGCAAGCATGACATTGGGTCTATAGGTGTTCATCTATACAATGAGTATACTGGCCACCCTGACCCTCACTATCATACCGTGGCTTATTTCTGGTAAGTCAGAAAATACTTTTGAGCCCAGCGGTAGCAGACATCCTGGCTATACGTTTGCTGAGGAGCTGAGAAGGACAAGGAGAAAGAGTTGTAGAATAAAACCAATGTAAGAGTTAGCTCAGAGGAAGTATGAGCCCCTAGTGGGGCGGAAGTAGGGAGAACAGGAATTGGCCTAGGAGAGCAATAGATGATCTCATGTAGGGTGTACATGTAGCCACTAGGTTGAGTTATGTTTTAGACTACATATACAAGCAGAGGCCAGAACCTAAGCACATTACAGAATAGAGACTAAGAAGAAATTCTAGGCTGGGCCACCGTGGATCCAGCCTCAGAAGTCCTTTGCCTCTACCCCGTAGACCACAGGGTCATATTTAACACCAGAAAGGACTCCGTGTTGTACGATTACAGTATGTCCTGCCCCAAACTATGTGTCCTGCCTTTCTGTCACTACCGCCTATGCCTCCACATCTAATTCATGCCTCTAGATCTCTGAGACTTCATTTTGCTTCATCCCCTCTCAACTACAATTCAAACACCCCGGAAAGGGAAGAAGGCTTATATCCTTATCGGTCTCCGCTCAATTATGCTTCTCTTATCAGAAGCTCTCTTATCTTCACCAGCTTCTCCTGGCGTCATCTTCATAGACCTAAGCCTTTGTTCATCTTTGCTCTCCCATCCCGGTTTCTCATCTTCTGAGGGCAGAGACCGGCTGTGTCTTTTTTCATCTTTGGCATCTCAACCGCTAATCCCATGCCCTGTATACCGAGTGATAGATATTAGATGGCAGATTTTCCATGAGGAGCTGAGACCTTAAGCAAAGTCATTTAACCTCTTGAGCTTCCTTATCTCTAACCTATCTGCCAGAGGAAAGCATTAAAATCCACTCCTCGGGTTGTTAAGAGGCTTGTATGGGAGCATAGCTGGCAAACTCTAAGTCACTGTACAAAAACAAATCAACATTTGCAAGCCGCCAATGTAACTCCTGGTGAGTAAGGGTGCCTCGATCAGGTGAAGGAACAAGGGCGCATCTCTGTTCTCCCCTTTCCCTCTTCCTCGGGAGGGGAGAACAGAGAGGCATCAGAGGCCAACCCAGGATAAGGACATTGGCGTCACAGACAGGCGGGTGTATCTCCTTCTGATGCTGAAGCTTAGAGGGAATTGCATCACACTCTGGTTCTGGGGTCTTTCTTGGGGAGAGACATCAGGCGTGCCACACTGCCAGACCTCAGCTTCTCAGGCAATCTCCAATCTTTGCCTCCTCGGACTCCCTCCTTCCCTGCCCCAGTCAGGGCTTACTACTCCTGCGTCAGCCGTGCTGCCCAGTTGCAACTTATTTTCATTTACCGGGGTTTGGTTGCTTCTCCGGGTGTCTGCATCTGTTTCGCTTTGAATCCGTTAACTAAATATATATCTGCTGAGCTCCAAGTATTTTTACTTCTTTTCCTTCTAGCTCCCCAGCCAATTTTGAAACCTGCCTCTCTAAAACAGTCCATTTATAAGTGGGTTGATTTGGAACATCCTTAAGCAAAGTTCACTCTCGTTATTTCTATAAACCCATTCTCATTATTTCTATAAGCCCCCTCATTCCTTTCTGCTCTTCTCCCTAAGAAACATCAGCTCCATGTAGAAAAACAAAACAAAACAAAACAAAAGGCACACACAGTGTGAGGGCTATGGAGACACGATGAAGAAAGTCATGGAGAATGTGGTTAGTAGGATGATGCCCAGGAACAGATGTCGGAACTGAAGGAAGGAAGGATGGCAACAGGGACTTCTCCTGAGGCATCAGCAATCACCCCTAGAAGAGGAACTGCAATAAAGCAGTCATTTAGGAGAAGTAACCTTTGCAGGAACACTAGAAATTATTAGATAAGAAAGCAGTGGAGGACCACGGGTCAATATAGAATAGATGCTTCAATTGTCACAGCGTAGCACAGGATGCCCTCCGGAGGACAGACAGCTCTGAGCCTCTGTATTGGCATCTTTGACTATAAACTGAGAATTAACGGCAAGGGTGACCACATCTTAGCTCAAGTTAGCTCTCAGTCCATCTGTTACCACTTATCTGGGTCAGTGATAGTCAAGAATTGAACAAGTTAGAAGGAAAATTGTCTAGCTTGGTTTGAGCCTTTTATTTCCTCTTCCAATTGCAGATAAAGCTGTCATGCACCTGTACCACAGAAGCCTTTGGTAGCAGCCTGGAAACCTATGTATAAAATTTAGCCTCTGCACAAATATAAAGCCATGTTTAAGTCTGATTGCCCAGAGATCTACAACCATTGCTACGTTGGTGAAGCCAAACCAGGGTGAAATAAACATTTTGTCCCAGAAGAAAACAGTTAGATCTAAAATAAAGAATTGGGAAGAACTAACTGAAGAAAAGGAAAGCTTTTTTTCTTTCTTTTTTTCTGGAGGAGAAGCCCATGCACACAATGAATAAAGTGAGCCCTGGCTCCGGCCTTCAGGCTGATCTCTAGCAAGGGTTTCATATCCGCGAACAGTGTGAGCATCTACCCTGCCTCTCAGGAGCGTGAAGCCTGCCTGCCTGCTAGAGTGGGGGCAGATGGCTGCAGCCATGCACATACACGCTTGGGCTTCTTCCAGACGGCAAAGAGTAGAATTTAAAACCCCCTCAGAAATAGATCAAACCCAAAAAAATTAGTGGCTGGTCAGGGGCATGGCTAACTTGTCAGAATCCCAAGTCTTCATTTTACAGGAGGAGGAGAAGACTTTTGCTGCACACACAGGGCTGTGAGGATTAAGTACGAGGGTGTGTTTGTCAATCATCCCGCCCTCTGAGGAAGGGCGGCGCCCCGCCCACAGAGGAAGGGCGGCTTCAGGATAGTGAAAGACTAACGGCTGTTGGTAGCTGCAGCACTGATGGAGAAAAGAGTGAGTGAGAATGTGGAGGAGGAAGAAGAAGGGAAGACAAATCAACCAGGCCTAAATTCTTGGAAAGGGAAGGAATAATAACATAAAATCAAAACGCAAGTTTGGGCTTCGACAGCACGTGTACTGGAAATGGGGCGATGCCGAGAAGATTAGCGCGGCTCCTGCGCAAGGATGGCACGCAGGTTCCTAAAGCGTTTCCTCTTTCTGTCATTTTTCCTTAGATGCCTGTTTGTTTTGTGGCGAGAGACAGAAGGTTGTGGATCTGGATGGAAGGGAGGTGGGAAGGAGCTGGGAGGAGTAGGGGACGGGAAACCATAATCAGAACATACTGTCTAAGAAAAATCCATTTTAAGTAAAATAATAAATAAAGAAAAATTAAGAAGTAAAAGGCAAGACTATTGTTGAAAGCTAAAATTGGTACAGATACTGTGGAAACATTGTTAAAGTTCTTCCAAAATCTGAAAGAGAAAGTACCACATGATCTGCTCATGTTATTCCTGTGTATGTGCCCAAAGAAAATGAAGTCAATATTATAAAATCTATAGCTGCATACTCATGGCTTTTTGTGACACTATCCACAATGGCTAAGACAGGAATTCAGTCTCTATGACCATTAACATATGAATAGAATATAGACACACAGATGTATGTATGTGTATGTGTGTATGTATGCATATATGTATGCATCCACCCATAGTGGGGTACTATTCAGTCACACAAAAAAATAAGATCCTTTTATTTACAACAAGAAGACACAAGTTAATCTAAATAACTAAATAAGCCAGACAGAGAGGGATAGCTATCACATGATCTTTCTCATGTGTGAAGTTGAAAAACAGAGCTGAAAATGAATGAGAAATTATGAGGGACTGAGAAAAACACTGAGACTAAAGGAGGGTGGAGGGACACCAAAAAATTACCTACATAAAAATATAGCAGTGAATCCCATTAATTTGTGCAACAAAGAGACGGTAGTCATTATATATTTTATATTGAGTTTTAATATATTTAAGTGTGTTCTTACATGTAAATACATACACCATGTGCACACTTTGTGCCCACAAAGGCCAGAAAGGACATAAGGTCCCCTGGGACAAGAGTTACAAATAACTGTGAGCTGCCAAGTGGGTTCTGGGAACTGAACCTGGGTCCTCTGCAAAAGCAATCAGTGCTCTTAACCACTGGGCCATTTCTGCAGCCTTTAAATTATTTATAAATGATTTCTAAAATATGTAAATAAAAACCACCAAGGAAGAGAAAGTGGTGTGGGAGAAGAGAGGGAGGAAGGGAGGGAAGAAAAGAGAGAGTATTCTCAGGTGAGGGCTTCTTTATAAAACTCCATTCTCTTCTGTCTTACGTAAAGTGATTTTTAAATGACCAAAAGAGAGATAAGTGCTTACATATTGAGAGACAGCCTTCCTACCTCCTGAGAAGGCTCCAGAATGTAGACGTGCTTGTTTGTTAGTTTTAAGGTATAATTTCACCATATACCCCTGACTTGGGATTGTCTAGATAGATCAGGGAGATCCGCCTGTCTCTGCCTCCCAACTGCTGTGATTAAAGGCATGCACCACCACACCTGGCCATGTTCTTTAAAAGAATCATTACCAGATGTGGCCTATTGCACATATTGTCAAATCTGCTCCAATTTTATTCCAAAAACATTAATGAAAACACACTAAGCACCAGGCATTATACTAAGTGCTATGCATCTAAAAATAAATAAAGAGAAAAAAGTAGTTTGTTACAGTGCCATTTAATGCTATGGATATGAGTACTTTGTATTATTATGGATCTTGGTCTATTGATACAAATTTAAGGTCAATTTTGTTATATATATATGTGTGTGTGTGTGTGTGTGTATTTCTGCTCTTGATTAAGGTATTGTGTTTGTGCAGCTCATTTATAATGTAATGTATAATTGAGAAATATAGGTTAATAGAGAGTCATCTATAACAGTCAAGCTTGTAATAATGTTAGTTAGATTTTCTAGATATATAGAGATATATTTTAGTTAGATAGATAATCTTCAAACCTTTCAAAGACCTTCAGAATATGGCATGTAAAAGTTTTAAGAGTTTAAGACTTTTCATGACAATGAGACGCATCTGCTCCTGGCAGCACCAATAACTTCAAGAGGATGATGGGCAACCCTATAACATTGGTCAGCTATTTGGGCAACAAACTACTTATGCCTGGACTGCTTGATGCTATGCTATATGAACTGGACATGCAAGACCCACAGAGAAATGACTGCTGAACTTGCCTAAAGGTAAGACAGCTCTTCAGGGATTGCTTCATGAAAGAGTCTGCCAGACATTCTGTAGGACACAGAAAAAAGCAACTGACAAACTGTCAATATAGGTGGAACTTTCTTTGAAATTTCCTGCTTTGTGGAAAAGTCTACTGGATACTATGGGCCTGTAGGCTGAATATGAGTGCTCCAAAGATACAGAAGAACTTTGAGTGATTGTCCACGCAGCAAGATGTCTCTGTCAATTCTAGAGTTTTGGAAATTGCTTACAAAGCACTTCCTGATTACTTAGGTATCATTATATCCTTCTGGAGTCTTTGATGGAGTTGAAGAATAAATAGTTATAGTTTTCCTTGGTTATAATAAAAGATAAAGTAGATATAAATATTGTAACTTTAATTCTTGCTTGATAACTCTTTTGCTATATGTAATTTTACTATTTTAAAGTTAAAACCTTTCTTTTTATTTAAACAGAAAAGAGGAAATGGTGTGGGAGGTCCTCTTGTATATGTGTTACTTATATTGTTAATGAGCAAAGAAATTGCCTTGGCCTGCTGATAGGGCAGAATAGAACTAGATGGGGGAAACTATACTGAATGCTGGGAGAAAGAAGGCGGAATCAAGAGACACCATGTAGCCACCAGAGGGGAAAGACGCGAACTACCAGCTGGAACTTTGCTGGTAGGCTGCAAGTCTCATGGTAAAATATAAAATAATAGAAATGGGTTAATTTAATATGTAAGAGCATGCTAGGACTATGCTATAGTGATTGGCCAAGCAGTGATTCAACTAATACAGTTTCTGTGTGGTTGTTTCAGGAGTCTGGGCAGCTGGGAAAGGAATAAGCAGCCTCCTACAATGTAATGATACCACAGAGATATTGCAAGCAGCAGCAATTGCTGTAGTTACCTTCCTGGCAGAGAGAGAGGGAGGGAGAGAGAGAGAGAGAGAGAGAGAGAGAGAGAGAGAGAGAGAGAGAGAGAGAAACGCACCAATCAGGGTTGGCAGAATGATCAGAGCAACAAGTATCTGTATGTTCCTTTTGTGGGGGTTGTCACCTCCATACTCAAGAAACACAATACTACCTTGCACTCATAAAAACAATTCTTGGCAAATTTGGCCATCTGTTGTAACCAGGATCTGTAGTCTTATCCTTCTGAGAAAAAAAAATTAGCTTGTTCAAACATTTCACAGTGAAATGCCCTTCGGTATTTATGGCATTATTATTTTTATTATTTCTGGAAATATACTGATGTAAAATTCAGTTATGAGAATTTCAATCATGCTGATGAATCAGGTCAAGGGCAAGGCAGAAGTTGGGGAGATGGATCATTTGGAGCTGAGCGTAACATTAGCGCAAGCATGTAGACACGTCTTGGTAATTTCTTGATGCAAAGCCATGTTGGAACAGCTGCTGTAAGAAGGAAAAAAAAATCTATCATTGATTCTACACACCCAGAAAAGGATATGAAGGAGAAAAGGGTGGGTTTTTTGTTTTGTTTGTTTAATTTTGTTTTTGTTTGCTTTTGGTCTGTTTAAATGTCTGTTCGGGAGCCTCATGCGGGAAAGGGAAGATAGATTGCTTTACGTCATGCAAAGCTCAGAGCACTTGAGCTTGCAAATGTGATTTGTTCTTTGCTCCTGCTGTGGTGGCTAAGATGCTACTAGCAGTGTGACCAGTTTAGGGTGAAGATACTTGGTGAGACCATGTTCATCAATGTAGTGTTCACAAAATGTCTGGCAATTGTGCAAGTGAAGAGTCTTCCTGATTCCAAAGCCAGCGGTGTGAAGTGGAGTGGAAGAGCCCAAAACACCATCCAAGAGTGCACCTCCATCTGGAATTTACAGTGCACCGTGGAGGAACTGGGCCAAGATTACCAATCCTCAGAAAACTCTTTACTCATACGGAGTGTGAAAAGAGAGAGATGAAAGTGGTATTTTAAAGAGAGGAGGGGAAAAAAGCTTTTGGACTACATATCAAACATGTAGTTCATATGAAAATTACAAGCTAAATACTCACCAAACCCCATGTTGAGCAGCTATAGTGTGCAAAAGAAAAGGTGTGCCAACTGCAGGGCCCTTTGTCCTCACATGCAGATAACTTCAAATGCATAAAAAAAGACTAGGAAGTGCAGGGCACAGGAGCAAACATTAACAAATATAGGTGTCCTGGGGCTGGAGATGTAGTTGAGTTCATGGATTGTTTGCCTAGCATGAAGAAAGTCCTGGAATCAATTCCCCACATAGCATAAAACAGAGTATGGTGGCACATAGCCATAATCCCAGCATTTGAGTGGTGGAGGCAGGAGAATCAGGAGCTCAAAGTAAATCAAAGTACCATCATCCTTAGCTTCATGGTAAATTCAAGGCAACTTTGGACTAAAGGAGACTCTGCCTCAAAAAATGAGTTGGGGGAGTGTTGACTAGCAAATGAAACCAGGGATTCACGACCTAAATCTCCTACTTATTTGCTGTGAGGCCCCCTGTACAACTCGTGAAGCCTCTATTCTCATCTATAAAGCAAGAGGCTTCAAATACATTAAGGCCAGAAAACAGATTTGCAGTTAGGCATTGACTCCGACCAATCAGTCTGCAGGGAGCTGTGGTGATACGGGTTCTAAAACTACACCCAGGTTCAGTGGGGGAAGTGCCGCTCGCGATTAGCAACAACTACCAGGAATTTTAAAATGCAAAACGTTGGAGGAAGAAAGTTGTCCATATGCTATCCCTCTGAGCAGATGATAAGGATGCCTTCCAGCTCCAAATGGAAGGGGCAGGTTTGTTTTCCGGCTGCTCGCACACCTCCTGAGAATCTCACGAGTGAGATTTGCCACTGCTCTGCACCTTAGCACGGAGCTAATCGCAGAGACCCGGCATTTATAGAGCTTGAAATATTTTAGAAGCACAACCCCATGTCCTTCTAGAACACAGTATGACTGTGTGGTTATGTAA